AGCAGAGGTCGATGTCTTGTTTTGACCTGCTGTCAAAAGCATACACATAAAGCTTTATTTGAACACCTTAGTGCAAAGAGATAACATAACAGAACATGACTACACTGCTTTCTTATCAGTTTCTAGTAAAATATTATGTAATTAAGGCAGTAATTAATTTAAAGTTCAGAATTTGAGTAAAATAATCTAAATCTGGCGTACATATCACACCAAAATTATTGCCAGAGTTTATCGACCAGCAGTTTCTCTGGATGATAAATATGGGTATCAGCAACGGCCATGAAAAAAACAAACAGCATATATTGGTCTCTATTATGATTACTTTGCATAGAATGTTCCAAAGGCATAAAATCATCTATCTCCATGGCAACGTGCTAGTGGCGTGCCAAAATACGGCGCCTTAAATGGTAGAAAGTGACTTTGGTTAGACAACAATAGAAGTACAGCAGACGCTACAGATTTACAATACAAGTAAGAAAAACTCAAAAGAAAGGAACTGAACATCATTGGTATAACTTGCAATTGAGAATGAAAAGATGAAGAGAGAGTCGTGGTTAAGGGGAGCCATCATGGCCTGTGTCTGTCACCAGGCCGTCACTGCAGGGCTTAGGCAAAAACAAAAGAGCCACTTTGGAGAAGACCACAGAGGCATTGGCTTACAGAAAAATAAAACGTACTATGATCACAAATGTGCCATCTTTTGAAAGTGGATGAAATCATACCACTTCAATATTAGAGCATTTTATTGTGGTCCACTCCATACAAAGCCACACATACTTGTCAGACAAAGTCATTCACTGTCTTAGCTAAGTGGAACTAGAACACCTCCCATTGTCCCCAACTGATACTTTACAGCTCATGTCCGACCATTCCCTGGGAGTGTGAAGTTAACTGAATGCACTGCTCTCTCTGAAGCTCTGTTACTTAAGTTAGACTTAATCTGAGCTTTATTTTAGCACAGTCTGATCACAAAGCGCTGACTTGGTTGGAACTACAACAGGTGAGATGATTTGTGCTGTTAATCAAGTACCTCACATGTAAAATTACAGTCACAAGTTAACTAGCATTAGCTAGTTTTCAGTTAATTACTCTCGTCTTTTTAGTTGAAAATCGAACTCCTAAACAGGACCATTAACACTCATATTGATCTCAGACTCCTGAAAATGTGCTTTGTATTTTTATCTTGCATTTTCAGACTTCAAACATTTTTGTACATTTTTGCTATTGTGTCCAGTGTGTCATCATGGTAACTGTTGAATATTCCACCAATAGAAATACATGTCGAACACCATCAGCATACGTCAAATTATCAATTGCATGTAGGCTTCATTAGGATATGTCAATCATAATCCAATTTCAGGATTCTCAAAATATATAGAGAGCAATCAGAATTATATAAATTATATTAATTTTAAAGGACTTGTATCTGTTTTTCAGAGTCAGAATAAGTCAGCTGTGTACTGCACTTCCTGTATTACCACATGACATCACTCTCAAACCCTAAAATATGCATAGTTTGTGTTTTAAACATGTGAATGAAGAAAAAAAAAAAAAAAAAAAAAAAAAGAGGAAACATATAACACTATAAAATGAGGAAACCTATAACATTACACACACATATAACACATAATACCTAACACATAGATCAGAACATAGCATAATCTTTGAAACCAGTCAAATTTTACTGTTAGCCATCCACCCTCGAGCCAAATAAATATCTTAACACATTTTACCATAAAAGCAAATGGTATTACAAAATGTTCTATTTTAAATAAATTATTAAAATCAGCTTGGAATATAACTTTGTGGCTTTTCTATCAGCCTATTAAACCATTATTCTCACCACAAAAGCATTAGCTAAGAAAAATCCCACCCAGCCCATCATAAAATTTAAATGAACCAAAATGCGTGAAAACCAGATTTGCACTAATAGGCCACCATTAGACACTTGTAAATGCCATGTGTTAGAAAGAAATCACTACTTCTATACAATGTTTACTGTATTCCTTTCAGAAATCTGGTAAACACCCTTTAACAGTTTCCCCCATCTAAACCCGGCATACGTTAGCAATTCCCTTGTTTCTTTAATGGGCCCAAACAGTGAGCTTCAAACGCAACCACATCCAATGCTGGCAATGGAAATGAGATCAATGGCTGAAATGGGGGCCAGACGGTGAGCCAAACACAGACTAGGGGCCAATGACACAGGCTCTATGATTTCACTGTGGTGGTATTCGACCCCCCCTTTGAAAAACCCCATCCCTCATCCCATCACACGGATCGAGTAAGTGGAAAATGTCTAAGCTTTTGGTGATTGCTTGAGAAGGAAACTGCTGGGAGATGATGCTAGTGTCGAACTTACGGTGATTTGTCAAAAAGTTGGTGTTTTTTTCTGTGTGGTGGATTGAAGCCTTCATCTTGTGGCAATGTGGTTACAGTGGGTTTTTGCATGGGCCAATTTACAATATATTCTATGGCTTTATGTGGGCCATTCAATCAAAAATATGAACCTGCAGTTTGAGTTTTCAAATACTAACAAGTAATGCCAATTCTATGTTCATTTGGTTTTCTGGGATTAACTGTATGCAAATAACCGTGTAACTAGAGAGAGATGGATATATCTGTTGGCCGATTTAGTCCTTTCAGCATATTCACTATCGGCCTTAAATCTCCAGCACATTTTGTTTTGGGTGTCCTACTGCCTAAAACTACACTGCTCTTATAGGTTAATGGTAAAAAAAAGACAAAAGTGAAAAAATGCATAGCACATTCAGAGGGCCGATGTCCAAAAGCTCTTGTATTTTCAAAATAATGTTTCGGCAAAAAAAGCCTTCATCAGATAGTTTTCTTACTTTGGACCACAGCAATGACAAATAAGGCCTGTGGGTGAGTTTGTAGTAAATTGAAATTACATAATTTGGGGGAGAAAATCATAATCGTCCCTATATATTGACTCAAAAATATTGGCAAAGCTTATCAGCTATCTGTTGCCCTGGATTCTAAATAATCGGCATCCGCATTGGTCATGAAAAAAAACTATAATTGTTGACAACATGTAACCTCACAACCCCCATTCGAAAAAAAAAAAAATATGATTGTTTGGTCTTTTGTGTACATGGATTAATTAACAGAGCTAGCAAAATCATAGCCAAGCTGGTGTCACCTATGCCTCCGCTCAATTTAATTTCTCTCCAGCGACTAGGTCAGGAATCGGAATACACTAGACGGTTTGCAAGAACCCCGGAAGCTGTAGACTGTTTACCGGCCAATCAGCGAAGAGCTGTGAAGCCCTAACGTCAAACTCATGCGCCTGTCTGGGTCCCTTTTGTGGTACAGCACAACTGTAAACAAAGCGGTTGAGATGGATGTAGACGAAGCCATACATTCTGTGCTGGCAACGATTCCTGAGATCAAGCTTTAAACCTGAACAGAGAGAATGTTTGTTGAATCCTACAGGATTTGATGCATTATTTACGTCACGACCAAATAGCAGCAATTGGTTAAATAAAAAAGTACCATCGAGAGAACAAATCCTAATGCCATGTTCCACGACGTGAAACCGGCAGATGAATCAGGCCATCAAAATCAGGCTTTTTGCTGAGAATGTAAATAGGTAACTAGTTTCCCAATAGAAATATCAGTACATCTGGTTTTGTTGGTAGAACTGTTCTGATTGGAAAGTCAAGTGATCAATCTCTATTTTCACTGCCTATTTACTGCTGTTGTAGTCTTGGGCAAGGCTCTTCATGGCTCTTGTTGGTATACTTGTTTGCATTTCTAGTGTTTATAATGTAGTCATAAGATATACATTGTCTGCATTCTTGGCACTTACTTATAATATGTAGAACACATGCCCAAATTATTACCTAGAATAAGTGAAAATGTATGAATCGAATATATTATTTTGTGCGCAGAAGTGAATTGGCTAGTTCACAAACCACCCATGAACACTGTACCAAAAAGAACGAAACGGCAATAGACCGTAATGGAAATCTATATAAATCTTTCTATGGTAAGCACATGCATTTTTCCACACTTTACTGCCCCGTGACCCTACACAGCACCGCATATAGCTGTTAAATTTATACCCTGCGTGACCTTAATGTACACTGTATTTGATCAATGCACCGGTGTGGAGCTTTAAGTACCGGAATCTGTTTATTTTCACCTCTCTTTTTTTCTTCTTCTTCACCTAAACACGAAACCTTTAGAGGCGGGGGATAGTCACGCAAAACGGGGTCAGGCTAGCAATCTGGTTAATAGATTGAGAGAGATAGAAGCATCCGCAACATAATTCAACCAGCGATATCAGTGTTTACCTGAGCACCTGTTTTCTTCAGGCCAGTCCATTTAACAACAGAGTATAGGGACTTGTTTGCATTTTATCACACGTAATGAATTAGACGGGGATGACGAATGGTGTTTTGCATGGGTGCATGATAAAGAGATCCCATTGGGTGACACAGGGAGATAAGGCTTTGACGGATTGCAGGGCTCTTCTGGCAAAGTCAAGAAACTATAGAAACTGTAGTACTGGAGAACTTGCGGATCTCCTTGTGGCTTGAAGGAAATAGAGATAAAGGTATTTGGATGCAGTGTAAAAGGATCTGTTGAAAAGATCTAATCAGGGGTTTGGAGTAGTTATTTGTGGTTGGTTACTATGACTAATACCACTACTATTATTACTAGCAGGAATTTTTTTGAAAGAATGAAAGCTATTTTAATTTGCTTAGTGAAAAATTATTGAAATAGCCTATATTTTGTTTCAGTAGCCCTACATATGATTGTTTTTGTTTTCTTGGAAGTGTAATATTTATTTAGAATTTGCTTGGTTTAAAATGATTAAAGTACATTTTGCAGGATTTCAGTCACATGATTTGTTTTCCTGTTATGGTCGCCATCTTGAGGTCTTTGAGGGAATTTTGTATTGCTATGGCAGTGGTCCTAATATTTTATCACAAGGAACAAGTCTACAATATTTTTTCTTGTGTTTTTTATAGGTTTGGTGTTATAGGAGTTCCACACTAACTGGTCTCTACGTATACTGGGTGGTCCATTACAACAGACCAAGCCAGAGGCCAAACTGTAAGTACAAAATGCATTAAATATTATTGCACACATCACTTATATCACTTTAATATTCTTATTTCAAATGCTATTACTGGTAAACCAATTCATTTATATATAATTTTGTGTATTTGTCCTATAGCTTCAAATGTATTTTTCATACTGGTTTAATATCTTTTTGAGTTAAGAGGAGCACACACGCAGTACTTCTTAAAATGGTAACTCAAAACCTACTATGTTTGAGATTAGTGTTCATTTGTGGCGGTGTTACATCATTCTTTCAAGACAGGTATCAGTTAAAGATAAAAAAGACCTATATGTAAATTTATAGCGTGTGTGTGTGTAGGCTGCAGTGTTTTTCTTCCCATTTCCCTTTCAAGTCAAGGCCATACCTCCTGTGTGTAGTGTTTTATGATATAGCCTTTTACAATAAAGGCTTTCCCTCCTTTGAAAATACTACCCAGAATAATTTATGGCTCTGAGTACATGCTTTTATCTGGACAAGCCTTGGTCCTTAATCCCAAATGAGAACATGGTACTTCTCAGGACTGCGATGAACTCAAGGACTCTTATACAATTTGCACTAATCTTGAGGAGATATAGGATTTCTCAGATTAATAACTCCTTTGTAAAAAAATTGTTTTTTGTTTTACCATCATCTCAGAGGGACAGCAGTCACTTTTGTTGTGTCCTTAGGCAAGACACTTCAGTAACATTGCCTAGGCGGAGGCTCTGGGGCTGATGGAGCAGATTGGCAGCCCCGCTTCTGTCACTCTATCCCAGGACAGCTGTGACTAAAAGTAGTTTACTACCACAGATTAAGGAATGAATTAATAATACAAAAACTTGTAACGTAACTTGGAGTGTCTACATTTTTTTACATTTGCCCCTAAGGTTAGAAGATAAATAGAATATGTGCCACTCATGTAAACATTTCTTTGTGTGACTGATGGTGTTTAGAGCATCTACAAATGCTACGAATGCCAACCATGTCTATCTTTACCATAATATATTTATGGCTACAAGAAGTTGCAGAAGTAGTTAACACCTACTTTTAAAGGTGCATTGTATACCTTTCAAATGCTTATCTCCATGGCATGTTATTGTTTTGTTAGGAATCTTTTACAGTATTGCATTAAACTCTTCTATCTTCATGGAGACCAAACCAGACCAAGGTATCTATGCAGAGGCAACCCCGCTCACAGTCAGAATGCCTGTTTTTCTAGGTATTTTTGAGCTGTGAAAGCAGGTGAATCACCCCCACCCAAAAGGTTACATAGTGCACCTTAAAACAAAGTTAGTTCCTAGTCAATCTGCACCATATTCCATAAATGATACTGTTATCTTGATTATACAAAGTGGTAGTTGATACAAAAATCCAAGCTACTCTTTTATTTTCTAATGTTCAATATAATGTGTCATGCAAGGTTGAAATTCAGCATAACACACAGACAGTCATAAAAATAGGTGGAAACATTGCGAGAGGGTCTGCTTCACGTCAGCTTGATTTATGAACACCTTTGGACACCTTTCCAGCTCTGGGTTTGTTGTATATGAGGCACATTCTAGACTGCAAGAATGCCTCACCTCCACAACCCCATTAAAATAACCAGTCTGCCAATAGGCCTGTCACGATAACAAAATTTAAAGTGCAAAATATTGCTGAAGTGAGTATAAATGATAATTTTGAAACAGAACAAATCAAGAACAGATTTAAACCATAAAACCATACAACTATTCTATGTATGCAATATTGTTAAAAAATACCATCTGCAATAAAAAAAATAGCTGAATGAAACTGTTAAGTTCTTGTAATGAGTCATAGAATTTACAATATCAATCTTTTATGGCATAAATATCATCATATAGCCAAAAAATAACCACAAATTTAGTGCAAAGAAAAAGTAGAGACAATAAATACTGACCCTCCCCAAAAGCTTTCAAATATTGAACAATAAGTCTAGCGATGCACCAATGCTGGTATCAAATATTGGCACTAATCCAGGAAAATTAGCTGGATCAGGTATTGATTCCATGATATAAGTTCAGCCAATATCCTGCGAGGGCCTTGTGTTGGATTTTATAAGACTATTTACTGGCAGATTTTGGTCTAGAACCTTTATATTGTTTCATACAAAGCTGTTCAGTAGTTATCTGCCGGAATAGTAACACAACTGGGTACATTTTGTAGTAAGTTAACTGTGTGTTTTTTTGTTTTGTTTTTTATGCTTTTTTCAATCTTTACACTTTCATTGGTTAATATCAGATCTGACAGATACCAAAGCAGTGTCGTAACTGAAAAATGTAGATTGGTGCATCGCTAGATACGTTGTTATGATTATTGTGTCGTTAAGCCATTGTGATTATCGTGACAGGCCTACAGTCAACCTTTGTAACCAGTCGACACCACCCCCAAACCAGAATGAGCCACTATAGCAGCTGTGGACACGTGACCTAACCTCCAGGCTGGAAAAGAAGGTGGACTTGGGGATTGTAAAATTAGGTCAGGAGAGATCTGTTCCTATGCACTCCTCCTCTCTCACTTTGCCTCAGTCAGCAGAATCGTCAGGGGAACTTTGGAGTATCTGCAGCGGTCCTTAAATGGAAACCGATTTGATCATTCCTAGATTTCCACAGCCATGACATCATGTTTGAGTTAACGGTCCGTGCAGTCACAATGTGGAGAAGAATGCACTGGGTTTGGTGCACAGTAACAAGGGATATATGAATGAAATCTGTGTAAGCCATTTTCATATATATTATTGTGTTGTACCCAAGTTGGTTACTTTACTTCAATGGTATTAGCAGTCTTCCTGTTAAGAGTTGAAAATGGTATCAGTAGGATGGTAGTCACATTTTTTGTCACAAGAATGGGGTGAATGGAAAAAATGAAGTCAATAATTGTAAAGTAATTCTGATGTAGCATATTACAGTATATTTATACATATTATACATATTATAGCTGAGCTGATGTAATGTAATCCCCCATTCTTCCAGGAGTGGTCCATGGTAGTATTTGCATTTCTCAGAAAGTTTCCAAACTTTTTTTTGACTCTTTCATCCTTTGTTTGTTGTTTAAAGGTGTGAGTCCACCAGGGTTCTGCTTATCTCCGTGGAAATGTTATTGCTTTGCTTGGAATGTTCCTGAGTATTGCAATAAACATATCTATCTCCATAGTGACAAGCATACACCAGAAAGAAGTTGCATTGTGCATCTTTAAGCTATTCACGCTACTACACCTACGTTTATTTATAGTTTTTCCTTGTGTTTTATACAGACTACATGTTTTACTAGGACTACAGCAGGCTGTGATTTAATGTTAGCGTAAGTGGTATCTTCAGTGGAACCTTGAAACCTCTTCTATTTGTTTAACTATGAAGTCATGTTTAATATTATGATCAACTGAACCGTACTGAGATCCTGAGCTTGTATGAAGAGTGTGAGGAGTAATTATCCTCTGCAGGAAGTCCCCACAAAGATATCCAAACAGAGCATATGTGTGTGTGCAGCTGCCCGTGCATTGTCCCCGTCTCGTCGGATAGATGTTTATTTTCCTGTTTGATCCTCAGCGCCTGCAGCCGGTGTGTGTGTGTGTGTATGTTGTGTCAGGGTGCCACTTGTCTTCCCCATTGCACGCTCTGGTCTTTGTTTAAATATAAAACACTATTCTTTCTTCTGGCTGTTGTGGAGGATGTGTGGAGGTGTTTGGCCCATAATGTGTGATTGTGTGTGTTGTGTATAGCTGGTTGTAGCTATTTTTGTAAGCGCTAAAGATATTGAAGGAAATGAATGTGCACAGGTGTTAAACTGCAAACTTGGAGTGGAAACTGAAAGGCAGATGGTTGTTTACTCTACTAGGACTGTTATGAATAATTTGCTGTATCATTTTTCTTTATTACACAAAATTGATTCATGTTAGCTTTTAGCCACATTATAATGTTGTTGCCTCCTCAGAAACTTTCCCAGAGTTGTGTATTGTTTCATTCAAACATGTCTGAGTAATCTTGGTATATTAGTTTTTCTACATCTCCAAAGCTCAAAATGCTCTGTTCCACCTTGTGATGTCATGGACTGGTAGTTTCTCAAGTTGCCGACTACTTTAAGTAAAGACAGGCAAATCCAGGGCTGAAATTAGACAAATGAGTCTATAAACTGTTGCCATACCAGCTTGTCAGAGCCTGATCCTGTAAGATCTCAGAAGTTAAGCAGAACTGGGCCTGGTTAGCACTTGGATGGGAGACCACTGGGAAAATCAGGTGCCACAGTGGGGCACCAGTCACAAAAGCCGTGGCAAGGCACTTCACCCACATTGTCTAGTATGAAAGTGAACTGTGCGTGAGTGTTGGGATGGTAGTTGGAGGGGCTGATGGCGCAGACTGACAGCCTCGCTTCCATTCAGTCAGGGCAGCTGTGACTACAATAGTAGCTGACCACCACTGAATGTGAAGTTAATGAAAGCTTATTACAGAGCTTTGAGTGTCCAGAAAAGCACTATATATATTACTGATGCATTATTCATTATTTCATTTTAATTGAATCTGAGTTTCAACTTTGTAGTATAAATAAGTTTGTTTTTTTCCTTTCCAAGAGACATATTATTTTGTTTTAATTTGTTAATAGCCTTGACTGCTGTCCTAATGTTTCATCATTCTGAAACTCTTGGAATATAAGGAAAGCTGTTAGTTATTGAAAGACAGTATACTGAGCATTTGTTATGCCTTGAAATGTTTGAACTATCTTAAAATATAGGTAAACTTGGTGGTCACTCAAATAATATTCCAACATGGATGTCCTTTCACAAATGCCAGTACTATGCTAAATAAAGCTTTAAGGATAGGATTATATAAAAATGCAGTAGATTTTAAACATGGTACATCATAACTACAGCATAAAAAAATTGTCTGTCTGTGTCTCTATTTTCCACCACTACTCCCCACAGTAAACCATTTGTATAATATATTTTGGCATGTTTTATTATGGATGCCCTTCCTGAAACAATATAAGCTATATTCGGGAA